TACTACAAGGAACAAAACGGGTACATCAAAACGGGTACATCATTTTGTTCCTACTCTTCTGGGGGTGCTGTAATGTGCAGAAGAGAAGTTGTGGAAGGAGTGTAGCTGTCTGCCATCACTGCAGAAATGATTTCCAGTCCACTTCCTTCAGTGTACTTTAGGAAGTTCCTTGTCCAGTTATTACTGGGAGAGATCAGTATTGTGAGTGTGTTTTGATGTTCTTTTATGATAGCATTACAATCCCATCTTCAAGGATTGGAATGCTCAAAGAAAACAGAATTCTAATCAGTTCTTCTATACACAGAAGTTCAGTTGAACATCCATCAGGGTTAATCTCTGTGCTTGGGGTCATCTTCTGGAATATCAGGAACATCAGTTAAATAACTCTTGCTATCATCTGTGGAATGTTTAAGAAAGTTTATTTCATAAAGTACCTTGGTACCATGGCACAGGTCCAGTAAACTCTGAAAATTACTCTTTCAACTCTGTCTCATTTGTTAATGTGCTTTCTTATAGATCTCTTTGAGAAAGAGCTGAGTATGTAAATAAAATGCATGATGTTTAATGTTTCCAGTGTATTTATGGAAGAGATAGAGATCTGGTGACTTAATGGAGCCTCTGCTATGCCTAGGTTATTACACTCACAGGAAATCAAATAGAGACTAGGAAGACAGTCACCTGATTTGTGTGAATTCATTAAATCTGGAAAATATGCTAATTAGCCTTTAAAATATATTGACTACAAAGATCCCGTGTTTATTGTTTAGTCAAAAGTCTGCGAGAGGAAATTATTGCAAAATTAGATCGGACAAGCATCTGTTACATGAACTACTGTGTATCTCCCTCCCTTACCTGTGGACTGTGTTCCCAGTCCCTCATCTTCAACTCTGATCAGATAACTGGAGCCTGGCTGCTTTTTTTTTCCTTCCTTTTTTTACTTGTTAAAATAAGAACTGCTCTGAGTTTCTTGACAGATTGGAAATGTCAAAAGAAATTTTTTCAAGAGCAACACGAATCATGTAAAACACCTGACTGATAATTTTCAAATGTGAAACCTCAGATTATCTGTCATTTTTCATATTCTTTCATTAAAGGAATGATCCTGATGAATAACCACTATTTCAGAGATTGCCTTATCCTAGGTCAAGTTGGAATTTTAGGAATATCACCTAAGAAGAGGCATTCTTTAGAGCATGACTTATAAAAACAATTGATATTTGCAGTTATTCCTCCATTTCTGTTCCAAAGTGCCCCACCCCAGCACACGGCACAGGTATCCAACTGCACACACTCACGTCTCACAGACAGGAAGTGCTTGTGTGTAAGCTGTGTACACCCTCCATGACTTTTAGGTTTTCTCTGGGTTACTTCAATACTTAATACAGTGTAAATGCTGCAGTTAACAACACTGTGTTATTTAGGGAATAACAAGAAAATGTCTGGTGCCACCTCAATATGCACAGAAGAGATTTTTATTCTTGGAACCTTTTATACCAGTATTAAATCCATGGATGTCAAACCCATAGGTAAGAAGGGCCAACTGTATTTGCTTGATTGATGTATTTAGACTTCCAGGAATATAGTGACATTATTTACAGTAAGACTTCTTCATTTCTCCTTTCCAAAGTGACCACTCATTTTAGGTGACACAGTTTTAATGCCATGCCACACTCTTACGTCATGGTGTGGAGCTGGCGGACTTGAGGGAGGGTGACAGTAGTGCGAGGTCTTTGTTACCATGTCTGTCTTGTTCTCACTCTGCCACTCTGGCCCCTGCTTGGTCTGGGAAGGGGGAAGGAATTTGGGGAACTCTGCAAATTTTACTAAGTAAAGATGCTACTTCTTCGGGTCTGCTTTGGTCAGGCAGTTACAGTGAGGCTTGGAACATTTCAGCAACAGAAAGTGTATCCAAGCCAGCGTGAAAAGTCTTTCTCTGTGAACGAATTATCTAACTAAAAAGTTTAGGTAGTTAATATTGTTGGAAAATATGTAGATCTCATGGTTGGATATAGAATACCTGGGTTTCCAGTTTGCAGTTAGCTGCCTGCAGGGAAAGCATGTTGGAGGAGCTGCCTGGTCCTTTCAGCGGTTGGGGGCCAGAGACCCTGAGAGAACAGAAATGCTGAACGTGTCCCTGAGGGGCCGGCGGCAGGAGCTGCTCTGGGAGCTGCTTTACCTCTCTCCTGTAGCGGCACTGTGCCGGGGAGAGCGAGGACAGAGCAAAGACCTAAATAATGCTGAAGAATTAGAACAAATAATTGTTTTTAAATGTCTCCAGAAAGAGAAAGAAACATAGAGAGACCAGTTCACTCCAAGTCAGTAGAATGACCGAAGCGGGAACATGAGGCCCCTCACGCAGGGAGGCGGGCTTAGATTACGTGAGCTTTCCCTGGGTTGCCTCTGTAGTTGATTAACAGTTTGGCATGTCTTCAGCTGTAGGGATGAATACAGGGTTCATTTCTAAGTTTATATTCCATGTAGAGATAGCAAACTGGATTTTCATAATTCCTGAATTTCTCAGATACACTGGTTAGTTCCGAGTTTTCCAGTTACTTTCCTTTGGATGGGGGAGAGTGGCCTGTTGCTTCATACTAGACTACCGCCAGGTCCTCAAGCACAGGATGTTTGTCCTGTTTGCTCTGGCAACAGTGCCCGCTAGGAACGTTTGAATGAAGATATGACGCTCTGTGAATAATACTCACAGGTCTAGTAGTTCGCTCCCCGACTTTGGTGTCCATGCCTTTGTGATAGTAACCTTTTTTCTCGTAGAAAAAGTGAATGATAGATGGGGAAGGTAGATTAGCTTTTCATTACTATAATGAGATGCCCGAGGCAGGCCGACTTCATAAAGAGAGGATGTTTGCTGTTGCTCGGGTTCTGAGGGTTCTCAGTCCAGGGTCAGGCAGGCCACACTGGCTGGCACTCGGGTGATGGTGTGCTTGCTGATAGAGTCCTGAGGCCCACAGGCCATCGTAGGGCAAGAGATAGCAGGTGTTTCTGTCTCTGTGCTTTCCTGGTTTATCCCTCCTTTTAAATCCACCAGGATTCAATTGGGGGCCCACCCTATTCAGCTGACCTAACTTTAATTTCTTTCCAGAGAACATTGACACTGGATTAAGTTTCTGTCCTTTTGGTATCATTAATTTGTGATTTTGAGGATTAAGCTGCTGTATGAGTTTGGTGGCCAGTTCTTATATCAACTATGGCAGACAGCATCAAAGACTGTTCTTAGAAGCCAGTGGTGTGGCATAAGCAGGTTAAGCTGCCATTGGCAGTGCCAACATCCCATAGGGGATCCAGTTTGGATCCTGGCTGCTCCACTTCCAATCCTGGGAAAGCAGCGGAAGAGGCCCAACTCCTTGGACTCCTACACCCATGTGAGAGACCCAGAGACCCAGATGAAGTTCCTGGCTTGGGCCTGGCACAGCCCTGGTTGTTGCAGATGTCTGGGGAGTAAAGTAGTAGATGAAAGATGCTCGCTCACTCGCTTCCTCTATCTCGCCCTTCCTTCCTCCCTCTCTCTCTGCCTTTGACTCTCCTCTGTAACTCTGTCAAATAAATAAATAAATAAATATTTAAAAATTAAAAAAGACTCCTTAGATTTGGAGCCTGGATTCTGGGAAGGTGCTAGAGCTTTAACTGGCATACAGACCATGGGAAAAGTAACATTTTCTTTTAAAAAAAGAGAGATTTATTTATTTGAAAGTCAGAGCTATAGAGAGAGTGAGAGCAGAAGGAGAGATCTTCCATTGCTGGTTCATTCCCCAAATGGCTACAACAGCCAAGGCTGGGCTAGGCCAAAATCAGAAGTGTATCAGGGTCTCCCATGTGAGTGGCAGGGGCCCGAGCGCTTGGACCATCTTTAGCTGCTTTTCCCAGATGTGTTATCAGGGAACTGGATCAGCCAGGAGCTGAACTGGCACCCACATGGGATGCTGCATCTCCTCTTTAACGCTGACTTTTCGAATAATTCAATTTTTTTAAAAAAAATTTTGATGCAAAAAATTGAAATCCATGCATATTTTTCATAATTTACATTTTCCATGAGTTATTTCAACATTCCTAGTATTTCGCGCCCAAGGAAATTTAACTTTTAATTCAGTTTTCCTTGAGGATTTTGATGTGGACTGCCAAGGCCGTAAGGAGAGAAGACACTTGATGTATTGGATAGAGGTTGGTGCCCTGAGGGGAAGGTGAAGCATGTCAGAGAGGTTGGAGGCATTAGATCATAAGGGGCTTTGTCATTTGGAGTTGGGAGTGTGACTTGTTACTGTAAATGAAATGGGAAACCAACAGCTGGAAGGCATTGAGCTGGGAATTATACCCAAAGGAGCGCCCTGGTTGCTGTGTGGAAAATACATTTGGGAATGGGGGCAGGGCAGCAAGTGAAAGTTGGAGTTGATAGTTTGTTGTTGTTACTTACTGAAGATTTGTCGTGACCTGGATTTAGTAATAACAGAGATGGTGAGAACTGATTAGATATGAAAACGTAACTGACCTGCTGATGGTTTAGATGTGCGATTACGGTCAAAGAGGAATCACAATGAGTTCTTGAACAACTGGGCAGAGGAACGCATTGCCATTGGTTTAGGTGAGCAGTATGAGATGGAGACCTGAGCATGACGTAGCTGCAAGTGAAGCATCACTCGGGAGGAGCAACCTTATAGTTTCCAGGGAAGTAGTTCTCGATGTGGCAAGAAAGCGACATAGACGGGTACACAGAGGAGAGCTGGCTGAGAAGCAAGTAGGAGAGTTGCCTGTAAAAACTAGGAGAGGAGACAAAAGACAGAAATTCCAAGAAAGGAAGTAAGTCAGAAAGTACATATTAGCACTATTATTATATTCAGTTATGAACAACTGCCTACTAATTATTTTGTACTGATTATATTAACTCTCTTATTTAATTTTGTTTATTAGTGTATATCCTCTGACTTAGTTTGTCTGCATGTGTATGTGTGTAATGTGTGTACCTATATATGTACAATTCCTTTTCTTTACAGGTTGTAAGTTCTACAAACGGAGAGTTAAATACAGATGACCCTACTGCTGGACGTTCAAATGCTCCCATCACAGCCCCTACAGAAGTAGAAGTGATGGATGAAACTAAGTATGTTTTGCTTTTTTTTAACTAATGTTTTCTACTTAAACTGCGCATGTTTGAGATTTCTGGTCACTTAAAATTATTGCAGGAATTTTTTTCTTCATGAAATCGTTGCATGCAAAACAAAGTAGTGTGCTGAATTGTTGTAATGACTAAATTTTAACTAGTTCTGTTTCAGTTACTACTTTAACAGTATAAAGAGTTATTTTAAACCTGGGTTCAAGTTCTTGTTTAGAATTAACAGCATAGTTTAGCTTTTGATCTCTTAGGAGTATTAGTGCATGAAAGTTCTTGCTGTGTTGTTGATGATAATTGTTCCCCATAAACATAAGAATAGTTGCTAATCTTATACAATGCTGCATGGTTAAATATTAGTTTAAATTTAATTTTTAAAAATTTAAATTATAGTGTTGCTTGGAAAAAATTAAGCATGAAAAACAATGTGATAATTTCAATATGGGCTGTTTCTGATGATCTCTCTCTCTCTTTGTCTCTCTCTCTTTGTTTTCTTGTGTTTTGCTTTCTTTTGTTTTTGTGTATAGCTGCCAGAAAGTGTTGAACATGTGGTGAGTTCTCAAGTGTAGGCAGGCAGAAATAGCTCCGTTGATTTTCATTTCAAAGATACAGCATCATTTCGTGGCTTTTAAAAACAAACCATTCAACATAAAAATTATAATTGGTAAAAGTTACTAAATGTATTTGATGTCATTAACATTAGTCTGAAAAGCAAGACGTAATTAAGGAGCCGTTTTGCCTGCTGCAACTTTTTTTGCTTAAAATGCTGTAGATTTGGGGACATTTTCTAACCAAGTAGATAATATGCCAATCCTGCTTGTGCATTTGTTTTGTAACACAGGGTTTTTGTTTGTTATTTTAAACAGAAACATATTTTTGAGTTAAGTTTTCTTTTTTCCTGTTTATTATTAAGAACATACAGCAGTCCACTCCTCTGTAGTATCACTAAAACAATATTTCATTTACTAACCAATTGTCATTGCCATTAAGTACAACACTGATAACATTTTATGATAAAATATAGAAGAAACATAAAAAAAATCACCATCCAAATAGCCTGTGTTAATTACAGATTTTAGGGAAAATAATATTAGTAGAAGTAATATTGAATGTAGATTAATTTTTGACATATGCTTTTAGTTGTGTTACAGTGTTTAAAATACTTCTCTCAGTTTCTGTCAGTTTCAGAACAACTTTCCAATCAACCTTGGCATAAATAAAGTTGCCTTGCTTAGTCAATTTTGAAACCTCTTGTTCAGATTGAAAAGGAACCTTAGCTGTAATTTCCCAAATAATGCTTATTTGTTCAGTGCGAAATGAGGAAACTTTTGTGGATGCTTCTTGAAGAGCAGCGAACAAGTATCCGTTTAAGTCAGTTTTCACTGTAGAATTTATTGCTGATGTGACTTAGTGTATTTGAGAATAAGGATGCTTCAGAAAAGCATGTATGTTAGGAAAAAGCTATGCATAAGTTTCCAAACTTTTTGCACCAAGGTGAACTTACCTATTAGTTCCATTCCCACAAGGTTTTTGAAGCACCTGTATCATCAGTCAGCGATGCACTTGTGTGTTTTTAAGTGAAGAATAAGGCAGAGTGGCTTGTGTGTTCCTGTAAGTCTCAGTGCAGTCCCAGGCAGCTCTGAAAGCACGTGCCCTGTGTGCCGGACGTCGGCTGTCGAATGTCGCCTCTGCACGTCTTTGTGGCCTTCCTTCCTCAGGAAGTTGTTGAGAACAGGAAGTGAGGGGTGACAAAGCTTGGTGTTCTGCCTGGCGCCTGGCGGTTCTCAGTAGCACTTCGCAAGCGCCTCCTTGTTTCCTTGTGCCCACCTGCCAGTGCCGTCTCCCTTCCGTGTTCCTCCCATTCCCTGCCAGTATCCTGTGTTTTCACTGGCTGTGCTGTGCTCACGTCCTTTTCAAGATTACTCTCAGTCCAGACTACTACATTCATCCGTCTGTTCATTCAAAATCCATCCGTATGAGATACTCAGAAATATCTCATAGAGCCCTTGCTCTTAAGTAGACTGCACACCAACAGGGGGGGCTGCAGATCATCAGCATCTCCCAGCATACCCTAGATACTATCAAACAAGTATTAACCAAACCTGTAAGAATTTGCAAGGATAAAGATTCCATCATGGCCCAGGTGATCAGAGAATGTTTGTGGCGGTGACTTTGGAAATGGCATAGTTGTGTGCAGTTGGGGTGGGCGTGGGTAAGTATTTTTATGGGGTTGTGTCTCTGTCTGTAAGTGGTGGAGGATGGGAAGGCTGTGTAGGGATGAACCTCTCCTGCCAGAGAGCTTGGTATAGCACCAAGGCCCGCTGTGACAGAGTGCAGCCCTGCCTGGCTCTCCCAGCCCGTTTCCTTTCTGGTCCCTATATTCCGTTGATTTGTTAAGGTTGCCTTTGCTGTGTTCTCTGTGTTTCTCCTGCTAGACAGTACTTTTTGAATTTCTTGGAACAAGGTTTTAAAAATCTTTACATCCTCATTGTCTAAGACAGTATGTCCATATGAATTATTCCTAAATAATTAACTAGTGTGATATACCCATATGATAGATTATCTGAGGTGAAATTCAGAAGGTTAGGGTAAATGAAAGATGCAGACACAAATGTGTTACATATTATGTGATTGCGTGTGGATGAGATGTCCGGAATACTCGCATACAGAGGCACAAAACGCAGATGAGTGATGCCAGCAGGAGAGGACGCTGGGGTGACTGCTAGGAAATCGCAGACTTTCTCTGCAGGTGGTACGAAGGTTTTGAGTTAGATAGTGAACATGCGGAACGGCACAGGCTGTATAGTTTAAAGTGTGAATTTTATGACTGAGGCTGTGTCTTAAAGCGATTATTTAGGAACATTAGGAACACTCCTAAGAGTTCATCATTGTGTTCCTTTTAGTCTATGACTCAGACTTTTCTCTGAGTCGCCTCTGTTGCTCTCGGGTCTGCCACCAGTGGACGTGCTCAGCATTGTCCTTTGGCACTTCTTTCCCCTTGAGCTCTCCATAGCTGTGGCTGGCCACCCTCTCTGATAGTCACCCGTTAATTAGAATATACGTGGGGCCAGTGTTGTGGCACAGTGGGTTAAGCTGTCGCCTGCACTACTGGCATCCCAAAGGAGAGCTGGTTTGAGTCCCAGCTGTTCCATTGCCCATGTAGCTTCCTGATAATGTGCTGTGGAAAGTAGCAGAAGGTGGCCCAAGTACGTGGACCCCTGCCACCTATGTGGGAGACCAGAATGGAGTTCTTGGCTCCTGGTTTCCTCCTGGCCCAGTTCCACCATTGTGGCCATTTGCGGAGTAAACCAGCAGATGGAAGATCTCTTTATCTTTTTCTTCTTGTAACTCTACATTACAAATAAAGAAATAAATCTTTAAAAAAAAAAAATATTCTCTGATAGATACTTTAGTATCCGCAAGTTTTTAAGAATAGTTCCTCACTAGAGTAAATATGAGGGTACTTCAAAAAGTTCATGGAAAAGTAGAATTAGAGGATAAGTTTATTTTAGTGCAAAATCCATGCATAGTTTTTTTTTTTGTTTTGTTTTTTTTGTTTTTTTTGTTTTTTTTGTAATACGCATTTTCTGGGACTAGCATCATGGCACAGTAGATTAAGACAATTCTGCCATTCCATATGAGTGCCATTTCTTTTTTTTTTTTTTTTTTGACAGGTAGAGTGGACAGTGAGAGAGAGAGAGAGAGAGAAAGGTCTTCCTTTTGCCATTGGTTCATCCTCCAATGGCCGCCGCGGCCGCGCGCTGCTGCTGGCACACTGCACTGATCCGATGGCAGGAGCCAGGTACTTCTCCTGGTCTCCCATGAGGTGCAGGGCCCAAGCACCTGGGCCATCCTCCACTGCACTCCCGGGCCACAGCAGAGAGCTGGCCTGGAAGAGGGGCAACGGGGACAGAATCCGACGCCCTGACCGGGACTAGAACCCGGTGTGCTGGTGCCACAAGGCGGAGGATTAGCCTAGTGAGCTGCGGTGCCGGCCATGAGTGCCATGTCAAGTCTTGGCTGCCCCATTTCTGATCCAGTTGCTCCCTGATGAACCTGGAAAGGCAATGGAGGATGGCCCAAGTGCTTGAGACCCCTCCCACGTAGGAGACCAGGATGGAGTTCCTGGCTTCAGCCTATCTCTTCTCTGGCTGCTGCCGCCATTTGGAGAGTGAACCAGCAGATGGAAGGTCTCTCCCAATGATTCCTTTCCCTTTCTGTAACTGCCTTTCAATTAAATAAATATTTAAAAATTACATTTTCTGTGAAGTCTGGAGACCCCTCATAAACATGTATTTCAAAAAATTTACATCAAAATAAACTTATAATTCCATTCTCCATGAACTTTTTTTTTTAAAGATTTATTTATTTATTTGAAAGTCAGAGATACACGGAGAGAGAAGGAGAGTCAGAGAGAGAGGTCTTCCATCCGCTGGTTCACTCCCCAATTGGCTGCATTGTCCGGAGCTGTGCTGATCTCAAGCCAGGAGCCAGGAGCTTCCTCCGGGTCTTCCCATGCGGGTGCAGGGGCCCAAGGACTTGGGCCATCTTCTACTGCTTTCCCAGGCCATAGCAGAGAGCTGGATTGGAAGTGGAGCAGCTGGGACTCGAACTGGTGGCTATATGGGATGCAGGCACTGCAGGTGGCAGCTTCACCCTTTATGCCATAGTGCTGGCCCCTCCATGAGCCTTTTGAAGTAAGGTTATATTTAGTTTCCAAATGATGGACAATATTGTCTTCCCCATGTATAGAATATAGAATGGCCCCTTCATTAATAATGAGATTTTGTCTTACTTGTTCACAGTAGCTGAAAATTTTATTTCAAAACAAGTGATAGAAATGATAGCACCACCATCATTCTTTCTAGAAATTTAGGGTAACAAGGCTTCCTTTATTTATTTAAGACTTTTGTTTACTAATGTGAGAGACAGAGAAGCAGAGACAGAGACCTAGAGAGAGCTCCAATGTACTACTGATTCATTCCCAAAATGGGCCGGGCTGAAGCCGGGAGCCATCCTGGGTGCCGCAGTTGTAACCTGTTCTTAACCTACTGTGCCACAGCCATGGCCCCAGTTTACTTTTTTTTTTTTTTTTTTTTTTTTTTTTTAGATTTTTTTTTTTTTTTTAATTTAAAAGGCAGAGTAACAGAGAGAAGATGAGACACATAGAGAGTCTGTCTTCCATCTGCTGGTTCACTCCCCAAATGGCTGCAGTGGCTAGGGCTTGGCCAGGCTGAAGCCAGGAGCCTAGAACTGCATCCAGGTCCCGTGTTGCTGGAGGGGCCCAGCCACATGGGCCGTATTCTGCCTTCCCAGGCGTGTTAGTAAGAAAGAGCAGGATGAACTGGTGCTCAGGTGCGGGACGCCAGCGTCACAGGCAGCGGCTTGACCTGCTGTACCACAGCACAAGCCCAGGTACTTTGGCTTGTTTCTGTTTCTTTCCCTCCCTCCTGCCGCTGCTGCCTCCTCCTCCTTGTTCTCCTCCTCTTTTCCTTTTCTTGACTGTAGCGTGGGCTGTCTGGCAAGGAAGTCTAATGGAGGGTGCCACTGAGAGGAAGTAGGTTGAGGAGCTGGATTTTTAATAGCTGTGTGGACTCAGTGCTTTAGCTGTAGGAAAACGATTGATGAGATGTGAGAGGACAAGGAAGTGACTGCATTTCAGTTTGGATGGCAGATGAAGAGATGTAGGAGACTGGAAATCTGTTAGGAGGCTGTCGGCAGTGCCGGAGGTCAAGTTGAAAAGCCCTAAGCTAAGCCGCCGTGAGAAGACGGCAGAACTGCTGGTGCTTGGAGACTTGAGGGTCTTGAAGCTGGAGATGAGGGGGGGTTCACAGGCCCCCACCTGGTGTCGGTAGGTGGCTGATCTTGCTCTTCCTTACTCATTCTTAAAGTCAAAATCCAGAGATACGAAATTGTATTTCTCGTGTACATTTTAAGAGGAAAACGCTTTGTCAAAGAGTTAAAGATTAGATGTCACAGAAGCATGTTCTCTTTATACTCGTCGGCCCAGCCGGAGAGGCTGGGTTGTGGAGATCTGAGAAGGGAGGGTGGGGAGGTCCCAGAGTCCCTCAGTTGAGGCGTGAGCCAGTGTGACAGACGCGGGAGGATGGCCCATCACAGGCGAAGAAAAAGGTATGCATAAAGGCAAAATGGCCGTACTGTCTTGGCCCTTACGTGAGTGTTGTCTGCCTAACAGTACTTAAAGAAACAACCTGAGGGTTCAACAAGAACAGGACGTAGCACTTATTCGCAGAGGATTCTGGGATAGACACTTAGCTCACGACCTCTAGACTAGCTACTGAAAGATCTTGTCGAAGTGAGGACCTAACTTGGGAGAGCACATTGGCTCCCTAGAGCCATGAAAGGAATGATAGATAAAGAGCCACAAGAAAAGACGTGTAGACAAGAACATGACTTCAGTATCTGGTGAGTGTAGTTGCTTTCCCCAGGGTCGTGTCCTGGGCTGGATTGAAGAGACATCACGTGCGTGTGAACTAGCTCATCAGAAAACCAGGCCACTGCGTCGTGGGCAGCAAGGGGAGAGGTACTGAACATTTCTGTAGGTGCCCGTCATTTTCTCAGAGCAGCTGATTGGATTTACTGGTAACTTGCACACACTGTGTGAACCGCTGTGTGTGCTTATTCCTGGAAGCCCTGCTGTCACTTGCAGGAGTTAGGATCAGTAACTGCCGAGGGCCTATTTTGCCCCCCAAGTTGTACTGGTGTGAAATTGCATTGTGCTTTTCTGCACACTCACTTGCCCTCAGGTACACTGGAGCGGGGATCCACTCCGTGTCCACAGTACTCAGCCCTGCATCCGGCACAGAGGCCCTGATGGAGCTCTGGAAGGTGGGGGACTGACGAGCAGCCATGTGCTCAGGGCGGTGCTGCCTGCCAGTGCCATCAGGCCCTGTTAGTGTCTGCAGACAAGTCTCACACGGGCACGGAAGTCCCCATGTGACGCTTCATGAGGGTTTGTGGCTGTGGAACACGCTCTAGAATGATGGCAGGGTTCTCGCTGTCGGCGTTGACCGTGTTTCTGAGGCACAGCGTTCACCTGGTAAATGTTAAGTGCATGCCATCGCTGCGCCACTTCTGTTGGGATGTGTCTGTGCACAAGTGTGCACAAATGGAAGAATTTCAGTGTGGCAAGAAGTGAGAGAAGTAACAGACAGCAGTGGGACGCAGCAGCTGTGGGGGAGCGGCAGTTGCAGATGGAGTGCTCAGGACAGTTAATGGGAGACTGCACTAATTGATCTCTAAGACCATACATTATTTGTTTTGGTAGTTAATTTCATCTTAAGAAATTAGCGGCAGGGCTGACGTGGTGGCACAGTGGGTTAAGTCATGGCCTGCAAAGCCACAGCCTCATATGGGCACCAGTCTTTGTTCCAGCTGCTCCAGTTCCAATCCAGCTGCCTACTAATGCACCTGGGATTGCACAGGAAGATGGCCCAAGTGCTTGGGCCCTTGCACCCATGTGGGAGACCGGATGGAGTTCCTGGTTCTTGGCCTCAGCATGGCTCAGCCTGGCTGTTGGGGCTATTTGGTGAATGAACTAGCAGATGGAAGATCTTTCTCTGTCTCTCCCTCTCTCCTCTCTCTCTCTCTCTCTCTCTCTCTCTCTCTCTAACTCTACCTTTCAAGTAAATGTTTTTTTAAAAAATGAAATAAATTAGCTGCAAGGTTAAATCATCAATTTACTAAGTACATATTTTGAGGGAATTTGTTGTTTTATTTGTGTGAATTCATAGTGCCTAAACCAATGCTACCCTCTGGTGGTAGTCACTGTAATAGCAGGCACCCTTGAATTTGCAAATACTGCAGTCAGACATGTAGAGGCTCAAGGCCTCCGTATCCCACAACTCATGTTGCTTAGTTTATTTTTCCAGTCTGGCTTTCAGTTCTGAGAATTGAGTTCTTACCTTTTCCTAAATAGCCTTTCCTTCAATAGCATAGATATTACTGAACACAGAAAGCCATGCCAACTGTTTATGTGAAACTGAAGAAAATTTAGAAGTCATTCTTAATAATTGAGTCCATTTAAATTCAAACACAGTGTAAAAATTACATTTGCATGGGTTAAAAGGTAAGTTTATTTTGCTACAAGAATTTTTGAGATCCAAGCATAGTTTTTTACAGCATACATTTTCCATACCTTTAATATAACATAAAACATCTTTTTAGTAGAAAAATTTTAAGAGAACAAACTCTGGAATTTGAAAAGGCAAGAGATAATGTAGAGGAACAGAGAGAATTATTCAGTAACTTTAATAATGAATTTTCACTATACTGTGACCAGGTTCTTACACTTAAAATTCCAGCTAGTTGATGTCTTTCTAATGTAACAGTTTTTCTTGTTTTGTTCTCTTTTCTTGTTTCTCTTCCTTTGCTTTTCTTTGTTTTGTTTTCTTGTTTCTCTCTTTTGGATCTTTAATTGAAAAGTTCATTTTAAAGATTTTTTTATCTCAGTAATTTCTCTTGAGTAATGTTTTGCTTTCCTTTTTCATTGAAGAAAACCTATGTACTGAGGAGAGTACGAGGAGTCTTCAGAAAGTTCGTGGGAAATGTGTATTATGAAAAGTTTGTGCCTGGACTTCAAAATCCTTATGCACAGAAATAAGCTCCTTTAACCTTGTTCTTCCATGAACTCTTGGGCGCACTCTTGTGTTAGGTAGCTGATAGTTACACATCAGGACTGAAGGGTCGCGCCTGTCCCGTGTACAGCAGGAGCTCGGCTTGAGGGCCTGGCCTGGGTGGTGACTGCAGTTTCTGGTGTGCACCTTGGCGAGGTGAAGTTCACAGAGCTTCACAGTTGCCCGCGTCTTCCTCATCCCAGAGGTTGCCGCTGGATGGCTCAGAGCCCTGGCAGTGCCAGTGCCGTGGGAACAGGCGCAGGGCTTGCCGCCTGGGGTGCCCCGTCCACGGGAAAACTTTGTGCATGCTCAGTGCGGAAGCCGTGTCTGAGGAGGTTGCTCCCACAGCTGCAGGCCTTGGTGGGGCTGTCTCACTTCCTGTCTGTAAAGTGATGAAAGATGGCTGTTGGCAGGTGCACTTTAGCTCTCTCTGTATGTTTAGAAACTGCGCTGGTTGTCAGTGGAAGTAGCGCCTCCTCCCCCGGCATTAGGGTCATGGCTGCCTCTCCCTGTGGCTTCAGCAGTCCATAGTGGAGTGGCCTGTCCAGCAGCGCGGGGGTGCTGGCCCAGGAGCAGTTCCTGAGCCTCCTAGGGACGGGCTGGTCAGCTGGCGCCCAGACTTCAGCTGCTTCCGTCTGAATTTCGTGTTTGCCTCGGGTGGTAGGTAGGATGTTTTTCGCTAACCGAGACGCACGCTCGTGGACTCTAACAGTACTAATCAGCCGGCTGTGTGCTGGGGGTGCCTCGCCCTAGCCCGCTGCTTTGGGTGGCCCTGGACGTGAGTGTGGTAGATTCGCCCAGACCCCGTGCCGCCCCCGTGCTTCTGTAATAAAAGGACTGTCTCCCTCCCCTGCAGGTGCTGCTGTTTCTTCAAACGAAGGAAAAGGAAAACCATCCAGCGCCACAAGTGACCGTGGCCGCAGACGCGTCTCCCCGCCGTCTGGTCTGACGGAATCATCGCTGCAGTGCCCACGGTTTTCAAGACTCGCTCCCGGAGACGGAGGCGTCCTATCCCAGACTTCACTTTGTGCTTGTCTTACATCCATTTTTTTTTTTTTCTAATTTTTATGGAAGCTTTAAAGTTTTGTGCAAACACGAGCGCTTTGCCCGTCGGTGAGTGGAGCGGACCAGTGAGGTGGTGTCCAGATACGCTCGTGCAGAACTTTCTTCTCTGGCCAGCTGTGTCCTGGATCTGGGATTTATGGCTTCGGTAGGAGCCCCTCACGGAGGGCTTCCTCCCCGTGGACAGCACAGCAGACAAGCCTAGTTGCCCGAGTATTTAAAAGCCGCTCCTGTGTTGTGACACCTGCATCCCTCGCAGGTCAGACTGATGCCCTCTGTGAAGTCCCGGTGCAGGCACCGCCCATGGTCCAGAGGAGAGCGCCCTGGGTCCGGAGAGAGCGCCCTGGGTCCAGAGAGAGCGTCCTGTCCACAGGAGAGCACCCTGGGTCCAGAGAGAGCGCCCTGGGTCTGGAGGAGAGCGCTCACGGCCCAGAGAGAGCGCCCTGGGTCCAGAGAGAGCGCCCTGGGCCGTGCGCAGCCCCCTGTGGCAGAAGCGGCAAGATGGAGTCTTTTTTCAAATGCAAAATATTTGTAAAATGTTATCTTTATGCTTCCAGATAATAGTGTGTGTCAGACAGCAAGAAGTGAATACTTGGAGATGTGATGTGTGTTGAAGTTTTCAGAAAAACACAAGCTACACTATGGAGAAGACCTGAGCGTGCGGCCCCGCGGAGTGAGGCTGAGCCTGGTCTAGCGCCCGGCCTCCCCTGCCCTGCCCGGAGACGTGGCCGTGCAGGCGGCCGTGTCTGTTGTTGGTTATTTTTCTCTTTGATACAAAGGCCCCCAGCAATAAAAACTGGGTCCCTCGATTGCCCTCGGCGCGCGTTGGTGTCTTGCATTCGGCTCTGCTGGTTCCCCGGAATGCCCCTGCTCCTCAGCGAGGTTTCCGAGGTTGAGGATCGCGTGGAGAGGATGGGTCAGGTGCTGCTCCTGGTCTTTTGCAGTCTTTCGAAGTGCCTGCATATGAGTAGAGTGACAGTTCTGTGAGGAAGGAAGCCCATTCCACCTTTCAAGTCTGCTTTGTTTTAAGCCATAAAGACACAGGTGTACTTTTGTCCTAGCCAGGATTTTCAAGAAGGGTTACAAGAATACATCTGGCTGGAAAGATAATTACATTGCTCAAGTCTCGTGTGCACCCTTCATTTATAAATTGTCGCCTGCTCTCTCTGTCTCTAAGCGCATGTCTCCAGGTGTGCGTATTTATTTTGTCTCAAGGTAACATTTAAAATGTGTATTAAAGGAAAAGAAATCCACAGTTTTTACTTTACTATTACATTTACATGGATTTAATTATACTTTGTAATTTATTTTTCTTCTTAGCCAGAAGTTCAGTGCATTGTTTCTGAAGAATTAGGCACCCGTCTCCAATCAGGACGTCTGTATCGGCTCTGATGCCGAGGAATGACCTTTTTTTGATTTCAAAGACCTGTACTCAGCCTCGAAAACATTTGCTGTATAATTTGGTCAGCAGTTTCCATCCTATTTATATACTGTCACAATAACTTAAACTACAGGAGCTATATACTGAGTTTTTATTTTTGTTTGCTTGGAGCAAGGTAGATGGATGTTTTGGCCATTATAATGTGAAACCACTTCTTTCTTTACAGTATTTGACCAAATGTGTGTGTCTATGATATTTGTAAATACATGCGATATGTGTATTTCTTATCATAAGCCTATTTAGTTTTATCCTCAGTAAGGTTTTTTGGACTGTACAGTGTTTATATGATCTGAACTCCTTATACATAAGAAGGTGTGTATATTAATCCAATTATGGACTTAAAATATTTTAAAAGTATAAATACCCTTATTTGCTGCAATGACCAGTGTGTAGACATTTGCTTTTTAGCAATATTTTTAAGTGCTCCATTTTAATGCCAAGGAGTCAGTCTTTCGGCAGCACAAACTGGTCAATAATAGGTAATGCAGGTATGTTCAGGTTAAGCCAACAATGTTTTGCATTTTTATGCTTCTTTTCTGTCAACACTAATGAAGTCAACATTGCCTGAATGTCTGAATAATGAAACACATCCCTGTTTAAAAATATGTAACTGAAAAAAAAAAAAGAAATAAAAAATAAAGGTAGTTTTTTTAAACTCGCTTTTCCCCTTTCCTCTAATCATGGGTAAAATAATGCCACTCAGTAATTTAAGACGGATTCCATCTGTTGTACATGAGAAGCAGAACTAAAAGAATATACTTTTCATTTGTTGTTTTTGTTTTCTTTGTTGGACATAGTTGTAAAGAGCACACACCAGGAAGGATCTAAGCTTTCTTTGTCTTTAAACTGTTTTTTACTACTTCTCTGAACTACTTAGTACAGCAATTGACTAACAATAATCTCTTCTGATAAACTAAGGGAAAAAAAAAAAACAGAATTGTTTATTCCTCCTTGGAAGTGGAATCAGACTATGTTCTCAGAAATTAAGCATTATTAATCCAGCTTCAGGAATGACTGAAAACCATTGCCGACAGTGTCCCTCAGGTTGTCACCGCGCTAGGGGCTGTAAGAGGTTCTACAAAGTGGCAGTAGTGGCGCTCAGCTTGCTGAAGCGGGCTACAGGTAAGATGAGGTACAGCAGCAAGCTCCCGGCCCAGGGTCAGTGCGTCCCGTAACCGCTGCAGTCAGTGAGAGGCGGAGGAGGATCTGGAGATGACGCGTACCGCTGAAAGGCCCTCTCTGGGAAAGCCTCCCTTAGGATTGGGCCTGCAACCTGAGTGAATTACGGGTGATAGAACAGTAGCCTGGCTCAAGCAGGAGTAGTGTAGATGAGCTTGTTTAACTGCAGGTGCAGTGCTAGCACTGGATTCTGTGTGCTTCGTCCTGGTGTTGAGAGCGGGAAGCTGCATGTCTCTTGGTCGTGTGTTCACCCGGCTGTCTTATTTCAGACACACTCCCCTTGTGTGATGGCTTGAGACTCCCACTGTACCCCCGTAGTAACCTCAGCAAAGACAAAGGGCCACGTTCCTCAACAGTTGTAGCAGAATCCCAGGACTGCCTTTGTTTCCCCACTTCTTCACTTGCTGTCTACCCTGTGCTCGTTACTGTGGACAAGGGAGTGCTGGTCTCTTGGTAGCTGGCCCTCAGGCCTACGTCCACTTTCATCACCCTGAGAAATGAGTGAGAAAGAGGATTAAGCAGAAGGAAATGAAGACACTGTTATGAGAAAGATAGTGAACTACTAGGGGCAAAATCAGTGGCTTTCCACTTTTGTGCTGGGAAAAAATGTATCAAAATGGGGAACCTTATTTTAAATAGAAAGTATTGGAAATTTTCTCAGTATTAATACATTATATTAAATCATTTATGTGGTGAATGTGTAAATTTGAAACGTGTTTTGTGCTTAGGTGAAAAGTTATAAAGATCCCTGCTTGGTGTGCTTTTTGTTTAGCTTTCCAGGGTTCTGGTGATAGAATTGAGTTAACAGAGTTAAGAAGCAGTGATTTTTTTTTTTCCGACCAGAGTACAAAGAAGTGGAATGACAAAGTTTCACTGTTTTTCATTGTATCTGGTTTCTTCTCTGCCCAGTTCTTTTTTTTTTTTTTTTTTTTTTTTTTTTTTTTTTTTTACAGGCAGAGTTAGACAGAGACAGAGAGAAAGGTCTTCCTTCCATTGGTTCACCCCCGAAATGGCTGCTACGGCCGGCACACTGCACTGATCCAAAGCCAGGAGCCAGGTGCTTCTCCTGGTCTCCCATGCGGATGCAGGGCCCAAGGACTTGGGCCATCCTCCACTGCCCTCCCGGGCCACGGCAGAGAGCTGGCCTGGAAGAGGGGCATCCGGGACAGAATCCGGCACCCCAACCGGGACTAGAACCCCGGGTGCTGGCGCCGCAAGGCAGAGGATTAGCCTAGTGAGCCATGGCGCCGGCCGCCCAGTTCTAATGCACACCCACAGTAGTGCTCTTAGGAAATTTACTTCATAAGAATTCATGGATTATAACCAAAGACAAGATTAGAGAAGAATGCTAGGTAATCTTGATGGGATATGAAAGTAACTTTGCTGGAACAGTTGGTCATAGTGGTGTTGTGCCATTTCTTGAAGGGGAAAATGCTGCTGCCGTTTTCTAGTCTGGGGCTGCCAGACATTTTTTGGGGTGCAGGTCAGGCTTAGTGGGCCCAGATGCTGTTACCAGGAAGACAGTGGGTTCCTATGATATTAACAGTATGAGGATGGAAGGTTTTACACTTAGGAGAGAAAACAAGTTCCCACAAATACTCTGCTGATGCCTTCAAACTGAATTTAAATTTGTCTTGTATTGCAGGACTACTAATGATGAGAACAGAATTATTTTGAAGGAGTAATATTTTACTAAGTAAAATTGATTGCAAATGTTCATCTATTAACTGCAATGTGATTTTACATATTTCATCATTGAAAATATGTTTTCACACAGATAGATACCACCAAATACTGTCAGTTCTTCAGCATGTGCTTTTGAGCCGAGTCATCATTTGCAGTGTATTTGTAGCATTCTGTTAGGGTCTGCTCTTGGTATTTACTCTTCAGCATATCCTCACATTGCAGGTTAGTCATTTCCTGTTCAGGGTTAGGTGGATGCTTCTTGATTGTACAGCTGAATAGGTTTTGAAATATGGAAACTTTCTGTGCACTTGGATTGAGGTTCATAAGTGCAGCTGGAATTGTAGAGTTGGATGTAGAAAATACAGTCACTGGAAATATGTGTGAGTGAAGGTCTTGCTTCTTTTAACTTGACAGCATGGAAGTATGTAAGCCAGCTTGACATGGCTTGTGATTTAAACAACATCAGTTGCCCTTAAAATGATTTTGTTGCATTGTAAGTTGAACATACATGTGCTGTTCAGCCTTGTGATTATAGCCTCAAATTTTTAAAGAGACACTATCAACCCTTCAGTATCAGCTAATTTCTAAAGGTGTTTGTTAATGGTCATTGAAGGCGATTCTTTGATTAAGAGACATTTCAGTCTTGTTCTGAGCTCAAAAAGTCGCATCTAAACTCCACTGCCATCAAACTGCTATGTAGTTGTGCAGGCTGTTCTGGCAATATTTAATAAACCTGTAGAGGGGATGAGATTCACCATTGAGTTTATTAATTCCATTAATTTCACTGAAATGTTTTCCACAAAGTCCCTGCTGATGAACAAGTACCTGTTGATGTGCAGCCATCAACCTTACACATATTCTGTTTTCACAGTCTGTCAAATAAGCTGCTGTTTTAATCCATATATATCTTTGCCATCATCCGTTACAGTACCTCGTAGCAGATTCCACTTCAGGTTCTAATGAATTGGTGTTTTTCTCAACTTCTCTGAAAATTTTCGTACCTGTAATTGTTCCGTGCAGACTGAATTCTTGGGTCACTGCAGCAATGGCTTCTCAGATAAGACTGGGTAACCTCTGTTGAGTCATCAAAAGCCAAGCACAGGCAAACTCATTTTCCTTATTTTTAGTTGACTGTTGGTGACACCTCCATGTCCTCAGGCCTCCCAGCCGACCATTCTTGCTGACAAGCTGCAGTCAAACAAGTCAGTTAACCCTGACCCACCTGTCAGTAAGCAGCATTCCTCCCTTGGCTAACAAGCCGCTTGGAAAGTTAACTTTGATTACACCCTTAATTATATTTTTGTGTGTGTGAATAAATTCTCCTGTGATGAGGTATTTTCATTTTCTAACTGCTCTGACTGTTGCTTCCTGTGAGCTAGGAATATTGTGATGAGTGCTTATTCTGCCAATGTTGAAATCTATTTTAGCACAGCTGAAGTATCATTGCATAATAAATACAATGCTTTGCCATGTAATTGTGTAACAAAAAGATCCACACTCCACTGTGCCTTAAATGCGCAACACTCAAAGTTCACTTTTCTTTACTTTTTGACATGATGAATATGCACTAGTAATAAAAAATAATAAAATATCTATGACAATATGTGTGTCACTTGAAATACTGTCAAGTTACCATTACTGAGGTTTATGGTGTTGAACAGCAGTGAGAAGCAATCAAAGTGCCACATGTGGTCTCTGTCACAACTCTTCCACTCTGCTTTTGTAGCATGAAAGCAGCCATACATAATATGTAAACAGATGAGCATGGCTGTGTTCCAATAAAATTTTTATTTGTGGACACTGAATTTCATATAATTTTTCTGTGTTCTGAACTGTATTCTTTTGATACTTTGAGCCATTTTAAAACATCAACATCCTTCTTAGCTCATGGGATAGATGAGCGGGATCCAGTCTACAATGATGGTTTGCCAACCTCTGTTCTTGTCCACCGTGGGAAAATTGGGATGTTTGAGGGAGAAACTATGTAAGTTACTGGCCATGGCCTCAGCCTTCTCACCTCAAGTTGGAGACAGTGCCTACCCTCCATGTGGTCTGAGTATTGGCAGTGATGTTATAATAGCTCTCAGTTCAAGGTTCCTTTTACCATTACCCTGCTAACAAAATGAGCAACTCCTTGCTTTCTCATACGGTGTTTCTGTTCTTCCACATAAGGGTAAGGCTTGCTAAATTTTGCTGCCACTTCCACCTGTTTAAAATATTTGGACACTAATTCTAACACATTGCATGCTGGCTGTCTTACCTTAGTTAACAATGCTGATAGATTAAAAATCCTTAATTCTATACTTTCATTGACAAAAATGACTAAGCCCCCTATTAAGCCACTGTAGTCCCACGTCAAGGTCCACCTCAACCCACTGAACCAATCAGTGCCCGACATCTGGGAGTTCTCCTGATGGATGATCCTTCTGCGCCCCTGGAGTACGGTTAGGTTTTAATCAGACACCTGGCCGAAATCCAGGTAAGCCACTTTGTCTCCTTGCCCTGTCCTCATCTCATCAAACAAGGAGCTTGACTTAGTTCAGGAGGACTTCTGTTGGTAAACCCATCTTTTCTCCTGAAGATTGCCTTTTGTATTTCTAATACTTAGAAATTGCTTTTGACTAAACATTTTATTTGGGATCAACACTTACCAGTTTGTAGCTGTGTAATTCATCTTTTTTAAATTTAGGAATTCCTTTTTCTGGCTGTTGCTTTGTTGTCCTCCTTTTGCCACCCACAAGATCTCTTTGTAAATGTGTGCAGGTCTGCGAACTTAGTTTGGTGTTTTAAAATACCTGTACCTGTTAGGGGTATTTTATTCTGGCAATTTCCAGGTTTAGCTTGAAGATTATACTTGGTTTTAAAAGGACAATAGGAGAAAAATAAAGCTGAACTTTGCATCCATTTTGTTAGCCTTCAACCCTTCTCTTACGTCTGCCTCTGCATACAATTTAAAAACTCTATCTGGCTTTAAAAAATACTGCAAGCTAATTGGAAAGCTTAAGATTGTATTGTTTCTCATGATTGTATTGTTTCTCCTGTTCTTTTTGCTACACTGTTTTTCAGCTCTAGTATGTATCTTGTGAAAGCGGAGTTTTTCAGAGAGAAGAGACACTCTAATTTCTCTTTTGCAAAGCTCGCTCCTTTTGTTCCTTTTCAGGATCATTTTAAATTGCATAATTGGCATCAGAGCCTTGATTTCCTTTGCTTCAAGATGCCTTTGAGATGGGATGCCCGTCTTCTCTCAAGGTGCTCTCTACATCAGTTTCTCTTGCTGGTCCTTTGTGGGACCCAGAACAGTAACTTTGGTTTTTGCTTTCTGTATTTTCTGGGAGGTGATCTTTGGCTTATAAAGAGCTGCTAGATGTTCTGGCTTTAGTAGAATAAGAGCTGCAGGTGTCTGGACAGTTGGAGTCTTCTATCACTCCCTGAGTCTCATTCTGGACACTTGTGTCAGGGAATGGGTTGTGCCCTTCCAATCTGACTCTATCTGTGTGGTCTGGCATCTTGGGAAGTATTTGCATAATAGGATCTCAGTTTCTCTGTTTTTGTTTGCCCTGGTTTTGTAGATTTGTCCAAACTGTTTATCATGCTTTTTGTCATGGGTGCCCTGAGTGTCACTGCAGTGTTAGTTCCCTACATAAATATGTGTTTCAGTAGGAAACTTCATTAGAACAGGATCCATGGCTTCATGGTATTTATTGTGCCCTGTTTTTATGCAAGCCTTGTTCAAAGTTCTTACCTGCGTATGAGGGTGAAGACTTCCTCGTTGCTTAGTGAATCACATGGTCATCTCTAAGCTGATGACACATGCGTGCAACTACCACTTGTGATTTTTGTCATTTTCGTGTTGTATTTTTACCTTCCTTGCTGTTCACTGCAGATAGCATTTGAACCCACCGACCGTGCTTCCGCCAGGGTCTGAGCAGAGTGCTGTCTAGGCATCATCGATCAGGCTTGCAAGTCATTTTGAGCACCATTTGCGTAGGAATCAATCATTTCTTTCTTGTATTTTGTTCTGCACTCAATACTGAGTTTGTCAGGATTCCTTAAGTGTCATGTGTTGGGCATTTCTCAGAAAATTGCAGATACTCAGCCATTAGAGCTGCTTTGCCTGCTCAGGAACGTGGAGTGCTTAAATTGCATCAAGTGTCAACACCAGCTGAAAACTGTGCCTCCTTAATAAACCTCAGCACAGCCCTTAGTGTCTCTGTGCAGGTGGAGCTGAGGGAAGTTACTGAAGGTGGGAAGTCTGAGAATTCAAAGCACTTACTTTTAATATCTAAGAAAGGAAAGACTTCTTTAACAAAAGCCCTAAGCTGTGAACAAATAATCAGTTCTGTTTTTGAAAAAAAGATTTATTTTATTCACATGAAGGCTGAAAGGGAGAGCGAGAGCGAGGAAGGGAGGGAGAGAGAGGTCTTCCATCTGCTGGTTCATTCCTCAAATGCACAAAAGGGCCAGGGCTGGGCCAGCAGAAGCCAGGGGTCAGGAGTTTCTCCCAGGTCTCCCACATGGGTGCAGGGGCCCAAGCACTTGGGCCATCTTCCACTGCTTTGCCAGGTGCATTAGCAGGGAGCTGGCTCAGAAGTGGTTTAACCTAATGCACCACAACGCCACCCCTGGTAACCCCTTCTTAATTCAAGAGAACCTTCGGTCGGCACGTGAGCTCTGGGAGTCAGTGACATCACTCCCGTGGTTCCTTCTAAAACAGCTCAGCCACAGGAGCCTTGGGAATGTGAGCAATCACTGATGCCTGTGGGTCCGATAGCAGTAGATCAGCCAAGGCCGGGTTCTCGGCGTCAGTGGCGCACCGTGGCCATCCTCCAGGGACCGCACTCGCCCAGGTATTGTGTCAGCCTTTGTCCCTAAGCCCCTTCCTCCACAGCCCCTTGATCTGTTACTCTGCCAGAGTGCCCTCCTCTCCTCCCGTGAGCCTGACTCTTGCATTGACATTCCAGAAAAAAAAGTTTGGTTCTCTTCAAAAAGTTAGCAAGGTGGTGCCCCAAATAATATGACAGATTTATTTCCTCTGTAGTGCTTGAGAAAGCAGAAGGCTACATACTGTATATTCTCAGTACTTAATCATCTGTCGAGAGATTTCCATCAGAATATATTGAACAAGCCTGGCACCTGGACTAGCAGATAGCCACGGTCAAGGCGATGCACCTGGGCGGAGTTCGTCCTCAGGAGGGCCGCCTGGCTCAGGAGGTTGAGACGCCTGTGTGCACATTTTAGGAGAAAAGCGGCTCTGAGTTTTAGGTTCCTCGCAGAAGGAGTTTCGTCCATGGTTTAGCATAAATTAATCTCCACAGCTGGGGGATTAGGGCACCCTGAAGGTGCTACTGTGGGTGAAGGGCCCCAGGGTGGGAGTGGGGGCGGGGCTTGAACCTGTGTTTGAGTCACTGTTGGGACAGCTGCTGACTGCCTGACCTCGGCCACACTCTCCAAGTCACGCTCCCTCATTTCTAGAGGGAAACCATTAAAACCCGTTTCCTGGGGAGGAATAGGTGGCTGGTGCCCAGCAGGTGCTCGGTGAGCGCCAGTGCTCACTGGCCTGCGCTTGGTTAGGCAGCGCAGGGGAGTGGAGCCGCCCAAGAAAGTGAAATGCATTCGTCAGCACAAAGCTGAGGCACAGGTGTGCCGTCTCCGGACTCGGCGAGGAGGGTGTTTGTGGCGAGCTCCAGATCAGTGGGAAGTGGAATTTATTTTATGGACAACAGAAAAAGCTGCTGAGAGGCAGGGGTTGGAGCCACTGGGCAGGGGATGTTGTGGCTTCCCTCTTCCTCCATCTCCACACAGTGGGCTCAGCAGCGGGTCCCTCATCCCGGGACCCATCCCTAACCCCTCTTTCACCTAATCTTCCCGCCTCCATCACATCTCCGTGAAGGAATGGTGCAGGCATCTCCCGGTCTGCAGCTTCCTCCCAGGCTGTGCCCTACCCGGGAAGGGAGGAGGCTGTCTTAGTAACCAGTGTTTGCCATCCTGACTGGCCTCCCCCCTCAGATCTGTACACAAAGCCACGCCTTTCTGACTCTAAACACAAGCCAGCACCCTCCCTTGGTCCTGCTCTTCCATCCGGTCAGCCTTCTGTCTCTCCTTGCCTCCCAGCGCAGCTTCTGGAGAGAAGAGCTATCGTGTTGCCAGAGAATATTCCAGGGCCCAAATCCGAGGCGGCGCCAGCACTGGCCCAGCCTGCAACCTGCTCTGCTGCAGGGACCCAGGACGTGGGAAGCAGCAGGGGCTGCCCAGGCTTAGGGTGTGTGGAGATCATCCGAGGGGGTGCTGAGAGCATTGTTCTGTGTTTGGCTCCGCTGCCTGATGGGTTGGCATGTTTGTGAGCCCCAGAGGAGGCTGCCCCCAAGTTTGCCTGGGGGAAAATGACACTCAAGAGACTGGGGGTAGCTCTCAGAAATGTCAAAAACTAAGATTGATTTCTTGCTTAGTTTCGTTAATGTATTTGCTACCCATGGCTTTTGGTTTTTCTTGAGGCAATGTATAAAGTTACTGACATAAAAAGCACTGAGCTATAAGTGTGTTAACGCAAAAGAAATATTTTGTATTTTCTGTAAAATGAATAAAAATCTTTTTGGAATGTAGCTTTATATACAAAATGTTCCACAAGCAAATGACTCCTATAGAGTACTTGCTAGGGGCTCACGCCATGATGTAGCTAGTAAAGCCATCGCCTGCAGTGCCAGCATCCCTTATGGGCACTAGTTTGAGTCCTGGCTGCTCCACTTCCAATCCAGCTCTCTGCTATGAGCCGGGAAAGCAGTGGAAATGGCCCAAGGGCTTGGGCCCCTGCACTCAGA